CCCCCCCCAAAAAAAAAAATATTTTTATGACAACGACCTATGTTTTTTTAATTTGTTAATTAACACTTGTTTTGTATTTTACAGTTTGTTTTCAATTTTATAGAAATATTTACTTAAAAACACAAATTAACTTAAACAATGACACAAATCTCCAGAAACAATATATTTTATCAACCAAAATATGTGTGGTTTGCTTTTATTTGATGTAGGTCTCATGTAAATGTTATAAAGGATAAATCAGAAAAAGAGCTTAGCCAAGCCATCTAGTATGGTTTTGTTGATAAAGTTAATTTGGGCTCAGAAAAAGTAGGTTGTGGAGGAAAAGCATGTTTAAAAAAAAAAGCATAGTTACCGATGATCCAGGTGGGCCTTCGGGACCAGGAAAGCCAATATCTCCTACTGGACCTCTCTCACCCTAAAATAAAAATAACATGTTAAGAAGAGATGTACAGTTCTAAAAGAAACCCTTTAGAGTGCACCTGTAATCTGGGAGAAAAGAGGTTGGCTTTTCACCAAGCAATAATGTTGTTGCAGTGGAGGTAAGGGAGCTATTTGTGCTGTCCTCCTGCATCACAAAACTGGCTGCACAGAATTACTTGGCTGGTAAAATAGCTACTATATATGCATTGCTACAATTTGTGGTCTGCATACAGGTCATACCTAGTTGCGGTCTGTTTACCATTGCAAATGCTATTAATAGGCTAACCTTGATAATTATATTATCATTTATTTGTAGTTATTGATCTGCATTTACTTTTTACAGAATTTATTTTGTTTTAAATTTGTAACAATTGTAGGCATGTAAACCTATCAATTAACAGCAATATTTACATATTAATGAGTCACTGCTCAATTCATATGCCAATACTGGTGTCAATTAATATGAAAATGTCACTGCCGGACCAATTTTCAGTGGTGGGTCTGGAGCTGGCACTCCAGTAGCCCCTATCTTAATCCAGCTCTCCCCATAGACAAAATAAAAAGTTAGGGTTATTATTCCTGATTAAAATGCTGCTGCTGACATTGTGGTATCTTTTCACACAGGTATCTGCCAAACTGTATTCCTATAAATGACACGCTGCTCCTCATATACCAATGGTATATTCTACAATATATTGACCTTTGAATGGATTCCATATGGTAGATATATGTATGTGTTCCCATTATAAGGTTTTGCAATAGTTAATGGGAGATTAAGCCATGATGTGACTGGATATGGCAGACATACCAAGCAGGTAGATGCTACCATGTATCCACAAAAATATAGGTTGTTCTTTGGCCTCACATGCTGACTTATAAACCAGGGTAGAAATCACATTTCATAAACCCCCAACATTCATATAATACAGAGGGATCTAGTCATCATATAATCACTGTGATTTTAAACTGAGGTTTTGCACACATAGGCTGTACACTGTGTATAGGCTGTCCATTTATCAGTTATAATGGGTCCTCTATGTATTTTTAATGCATTCCTGAAACATATTTAACCACCCCTCAGTGGATAATATTAATAATGCACTTGAACCATATGAAGCCAACATAAAACTTCCACAGCCACAAATATATGGCATATAAATAAGATCCCATGGTCCTATTTTTCCCCTAATTATCCAGTGCTGTCTAGGTGGACATGAGCAGCATTTATACAAAGTGAATATTGAGTGCAGTATATACAGGATCAGATGTTCCAAAAGCACTAGTATTCAAAATAATATCTGTTGTAGAAAAAAAGTGCAATCATATATTTCCCTCCAATCCATGCGCTGGTGTTCACATCCACATATATTATGACACAAAAGCAGAATCATGTATTCCTCTCTGATCTAGAGTGGCCATAGCCAGTTAAGCAAACTTTTCCACAGATACGCACATAAGGGAGGTTAAGTTATCTTCCAGTGCAGTGTTGTCATTGATTTTACAATGATGTCCACAGTTTATTTTAATAAAGTACATTCCAGTTCATTGACATTACCAAGTCAGTGTAGTAGAAAAGTATATAAGCTAATATCATGGCAAGCTGGTCAATAAGTCCATGTATGATGTTCAAAAATGTATACTCATCTGTGTCCAGTCATCTGATCATCCAGCTATAATGAGGCACAAGGATGGGGGTTACTAGAGCAGAGACCCGCGTCTGACCTATGTTTGCAATATTTCAATATATAATGACAGTGAATGTATGAAGTATAGAACCCTCTGTAATATATGCATTTGGGGGGATTATGTGATTGGCCTCACACTCTGAACTATAAACTGGGTTAACAAAGAACAACAAATACTTTTGTGAATAGATGATGGCATGTACCTGTCAGTATGTCTGCCATATCCAGTCACAGAATGGCTTGATCCCCCAATAACCTTATAATGGGAATACATGCTACCTGAAATCCATTCAAAGTTCATTAGAGAATACAGCATTGGATATACTTTATGAGGAACAACTTGTCATTTATATGGATACATTTTGGCATCTACCTGCATGGTATGTCTGTGGTATCCAATTAATCAGCAAACTATACACACGGGTTTATATGGTGATCGGAAATGTAATGAGACATCTAACATTTAAAATCCAACCCCTGTAAATTGAATATAAAATTCAAGGAGCAGCTTAAATAACTCCAGGAATTTTGAAAACTTACCTTTGCAGTGGGGCCACCTCTGCACTGCAAGGGTTAAGTGCTTGTTTTGTCTAGGTAAAGAAGAAAATAGAGATATACTGACTTGATCCTCCGTCCTGCCGGACTGCTAGACTAGTCTCGCAGCCTCTTCACCCCTGGGCTCTGGTGGTCTAAGGACCACAGACGTTATCATGTCTATTACAGGTCCAATGACTTGACGTGAGGATGCCGAGGAACACTGCACAGCCGGAGTGGAGAGTGGTGAGCACAGACCCAGGATCATGTCAGTAAAACTGCTTTGACTCCCCTAGACAAAATGAGCACTTAACCCCTGCAGTGCAGAGGTTGCGCCGCTGTAAGGGTATATTTTTTAAATTCTTGGAGTTATTCCTTAAAGGCTTTTTTTGAGTGAAACATAAGTGTCTATTTATAGTATAATAACACATATAAAAGGATGTTTTGCCTTCTTTTTGGGGATGAGTACTGGATATATGTTCATTTTGTAGTTTGCTACATAGAGGAATATATAGTGATAATAATAACAACATCATGGTGATATTAGAAGCTCTGCAGAGGTGCAGTTATTTTATCTTATATATGTGGAAGTGTATTATATAAAAGACAGTCCTTTGGATACATTCTTTGAAGTTTTCTGATTTTTTTTTTACTTTGAAACAATAAACACATTTGGTTTGTTGATTCTCATATGTAGGGGAATATTCAGTAGGAAACAGTTTTGCACCAGCAAGAACATGGACAGCCAAAGTGACCTACTGGCCATTTTCTATTTGCTTTTCAATGCAAACTTATTACTAGTTAATAAAAAGCATGTGTTGCTGCAAAAGCTACCTGAAAAAGGCCTTTTGCTCAAACTGAAATCAATCACAATGGAGTGTAGTTTATGTATGTAAGCCAGGCTGATTGTAAAATAAAAAACAAATCCACAGCCAAATTTATGCTGCTAAATTACATTGTCGCTAAGATTGTGCATGAAATCATACTGTTCTGTAACAACACATATGGCTTTAAGGCATCCCTGAAGCATGTTATTTAAGGTTTTGTGCATTTTCAATGTTGTCATCGAAGCTGCAAGTAAAGACCCCATCACTGTTGTATGATTTATTTTCTTCTTCATGTCCTTGGTATATGTCCTACATAAAAGTGCCCAGCTTCCCAACCATTTTTTACAGTAGTTTGCCTATTGTCCCTATAATATTGAGTGCAGTATATACAGGATCAGATGTTCCAAAAGTACTAGTATTCAAAATAATATCTGTTGTAGAAAAAAAGTGCAATCATATATTTCCCTCCAATCCATGCGCTGGTGTTCACATCCACATATATTATGACACAAAAGCAGAATCATGTATTCCTCTCTGATCTAGAGTGGCCATAGCCAGTTAAGCAAACTTTTCCACAGATACGCACATAAGGGAGGTTAAGTTATCTTCCAGTGCAGTGTTGTCATTGATTTTACAATGATGTCCACAGTTTATTTTAATAAAGTACATTCCAGTTCATTGACATTACCAAGTCAGTGTAGTAGAAAAGTATATAAGCTAATATCATGGCAAGCTGGTCAATAAGTCCATGTATGATGTTCAAAAATGTATACTCATCTGTGTCCAGTCATCTGATCATCCAGCAATAATGAGGCACAAGGATGGGGGTTACTAGAGCAGACCTATGTTTGCAATATTTCAATATATAATGACAGTGAATGTATGAAGTATAGAACCCTCTGTAATATATGCATTTGGGGGGATTATGTGATTGGCCTCACACTCTGAACTATAAACTGGGTTAACAAAGAACAACAAATACTTTTGTGAATAGATGATGGCATGTACCTGTCAGTATGTCTGCCATATCCAGTCACAGAATGGCTTGATCCCCCAATAACCTTATAATGGGAATACATGCTACCTGAAATCCATTCAAAGTTCATTAGAGAATACAGCATTGGATATACTTTATGAGGAACAACTTGTCATTTATATGGATACATTTTGGCATCTACCTGCATGGTATGTCTGTGGTATCCAATTAATCAGCAAACTATACACACGGGTTTATATGGTGATCGGAAATGTAATGAGACATCTAACATTTAAAATCCAACCCCTGTAAATTGAATATAAAATTCAAGGAGCAGCTTAAATAACTCCAGGAATTTTGAAAACTTACCTTTGCAGTGGGGCCACCTCTGCACTGCAAGGGTTAAGTGCTTGTTTTGTCTAGGTAAAGAAGAAAATAGAGATATACTGACTTGATCCTCCGTCCTGCCGGACTGCTAGACTAGTCTCGCAGCCTCTTCACCCCTGGGCTCTGGTGGTCTAAGGACCACAGACGTTATCATGTCTATTACAGGTCCAATGACTTGACGTGAGGATGCCGAGGAACACTGCACAGCCGGAGTGGAGAGTGGTGAGCACAGACCCAGGATCATGTCAGTAAAACTGCTTTGACTCCCCTAGACAAAATGAGCACTTAACCCCTGCAGTGCAGAGGTTGCGCCGCTGTAAGGGTATATTTTTTAAATTCTTGGAGTTATTCCTTAAAGGCTTTTTTGAGTGAAACATAAGTGTCTATTTATAGTATAATAACACATATAAAAGGATGTTTTGCCTTCTTTTTGGGGATGAGTACTGGATATATGTTCATTTTGTAGTTTGCTACATAGAGGAATATATAGTGATAATAATAACAACATCATGGTGATATTAGAAGCTCTGCAGAGGTGCAGTTATTTTATCTTATATATGTGGAAGTGTATTATATAAAAGACAGT